CTCCTTAAAAATATTAAATGCATTTAAAGCATTTCCTTTACTTCCGGAATCGTTTGTTTACATAATTGGTCTATAAAATGATAAATTACTGTGAAAATTTACTAATTTAATAAAATAATTAAACTATAATTAAGATTTATTGCACTTAAGCGACGAAAATGGCGTTAAATTGATTCCATAATGTCTCTTAAATGTTATTATAACATGGATATATTGTCGAAAAAATAACTGCCCGACTAATTTAACTGCTTCATAACATTTTATAGTTTTTAAAAATGTAGCGTTAAATGTTATTAATTGTTTTCTTTCTTTTCGAGTATTTTTTTGAGACAGACATTTTAAATATTAAATTATACCTTAGTGTGTATAGTTTTAGAATGTAACAAAAATTAATTTTTTTTTTTTATTAACTTTCAATTACATACTAGATTTAGTACATTAAATATAATTGATTAATTCTCTGCTAAATAATAATATTATATTTAATCTATATAGCTTAAATGAAATTAATAGCTTATGACTAATAAATAATAACCGATCGATTGAAACAATAATACAATCCTAACTTAACAACACGGATTCAAAGTCTTACATAACAATGTAACCATTAAAATACTATTGCATATCGTATTACACATTATAAATGCGATGCCTTTGTTTAACTTGTTTATAAGGACACACGCGACACGCTTTAAAAATTACAATTGTTTAAACTTCAAATATTTCTCGGAAGTTGCGCCTTTTCCTCGCCGAGATAAAAAAGGTTTGAGTTATCAACAACAGAATTGTTTTAATAAAAATATCTCACCCCAAGATTTATGCGTTTTAAAGTATATTTTCATAATAAATCAATTTAAAAATATTTTATTTGAATGAGACTGAAATTATTACAAAGTTTTTGATTATCTTACACAACGTGCAGCAATAAATTAAAAAAAATTAGTGAAAAAACAAGTTTTTTTTTGACGTTCCTGATTTATTCGTTTTCCGGTAAAATTGTACAACTTTATATTTTTTATTTCATCAAAATATTATATTAAATATTAAATCAACACAGTTGATGCAAAGTAATAATTTATCATACCAACCAATTATGAAATTTACTCAACACAAAAGTATTAATTTTTAGTCAAAAGTGTACAAGTATATTTATATTTGTAATTGTTCTTGTAAAATAAATAAAATCAACGTCTCGTCATATTTCGTCATGGGTTACGATAGAAGAAAAAAACAATGTTGATCAATTTTAAATGCAATTCGATAATTAAAATTTAACTACAGGAATTTATAATGGTATTTAATTTTAGCATTGGCTCAATTAATAATAATATGACATTGACAAATATCAAAAATTGCAATTTCTCTTTAGTAGTAATATTGGAAAATGCAACATTCATTTTTCAATTATGCTTTTATTTTTTTGTAATGGATAATATTCAAAGTACTAGTATATATTTTCAATGAATAATTTTAATTGAGTTCTTAGCGTCATACCTACTAGGATATTGATCGGCGCTAATAATCAAAAATGAAATACTTAAAGGTGTGTAATTAAGTTTATAATGTCCACTTTAACACTACCGACCTTAGCGTTTATGTAACACAAAGTATAACCAAGTCACCTAAAATAACATCTCATTGTTATTTTATATTCACGTCAAAATTTATTTATTTTTGATCCTATATGACTACTTACTTTGTTGCAATTTGATATGATAAAAGAAAAGTTTCATGATTAAATAGAAAAGTAATGTTCTGACGAAGTGCCGTGGGATATAAATCAAAATAATAATATCATGTAATTTTGAACAAAACACTACTTATGTTGTTTAAGAGCTAGAATACAGAATAATACTCTTGTCTAATGGAGAATGAGTATATGATACAACTGAGACACAGGAATATTTAAAGGGATTACTGTAAGGGTAAGTGTACGTTAGGTACTCAATGTTTTAGTTTTTCATTGGAGTGTTTTATGAAATGACTATGATAGAACGAATTAAATGAACTCCCCCCATGAATGATATTTGTACATACTAAACAGTGTTATGATGATTTTAATAGAAAAATATATAAATACTTCTAATTTATTCATTTTTTTTATTTTCAATAAAAAATGTGTTTTCTAGGGGTGTTATATTAATAAAAATATTTTTTATGTGAAATAAAAGAGTAATACGTTTTGTTTTTGGGTATTTTAAAATCCAAATCATCAATATGAAAGGTTCAATTCACAAAATAATTTACCAGCATAAAACATTGTTTTGGTCAAATATTCTTGAAACATACAAGCTCTGCCTTGCAATATTTAGAATAGTTTGTTACGTGAAGAAGATGATTTATAATGAATATTTTGCACAACTCTACGTATCTTCTACGCCACATTCCATATAAAATATTAAAATGTGTATTGTATATAAAGTATTATCGACCGAATGAAACTTTCAGAAATTTAAATAAAATAAAAATATATTTAAGCCTATCTTAGAGTTTAATATCTTCATCTGAGATATTATCCACTATGATAAACATTATGGTCACAATTTTCTTCCAGAAATTATTATTTAAATACAATGTCGTACACAAAAAAATCTCCTGGTGGTAATCACTACTTTGTGTAAACTGCTGGTCATTCAGTCTTTACAATATTGTAGTTTGCCTAGTTCTTATAAATCTGTTTTTATTTTTACATATTTATTACAATAGTTCATAATTTACTTCATTTGTAATAAAAGTTTTAGTGCATATTTTTAAGCCAACTTAAAAATTGTAACACATGCTACATAATACTCCGTGTGAGTCTTCTAATGAAAATATAATTACAATTTTTAAAAATGTGTAACCATAGGCTCAACCACAATGAAATATTTGAGAAGATGATTTTTAACTAGTGGAGTTAAGCCTCCTATCTCCTCTAAGTTGTGCTTATTAGTCTAACTAAATATTGTTAAAAGAATACGGAATTTTTTTATGCTCTACAGTTGAGATACAACGGATTTTATGCTCGGCGGCAAATTGAACTCACATTTACGAAATACTTTACAAATACAGGCGTGGGTTGAGTACAACTCCTAAAACTTATTGTATAAACTAAAAGTTTATGCACAGATAAATTAGCTTGAACAGGTTAGATATATATACGCAGAGTGTCTCAGATCTATCTGACAATGCTTATAACTTTTAATCGTATAATCATTTTGTTGGATTTATTTTTATAAAACTTTTGCCTTCTTTGACTTTGTTTGAACCATATTTATCAATATTTATTACTAATGAGAAAAATAAAAGTTTACTACTTTTTTTTCTAAGTTTTGAAAAAATCTTTTTTAGCACTTTTCTTACGACATATTTTGATATACTAAAATTGATATATACCTATCAATTTTTTTTACATGAAAAACACTAAAATAGTGGCTATTTTAAAATTTTTAAAAAATAAATGTTTTTTTTAAGTAATAAATAATAAAAAAATACGCTTTAAACGTAGTTTAAGAAGACAATAGTTATTTTAGATAAAAAGTTCAACAAACGATAATTGTTGTATCAAAATTTATATGCGTGTTATCAGTTAGGTTTGGGACACGTATATATTTTTTTGTTTCCTTGTGCCAGAGAGAAAAAGAAACCCACACAGTTCAACACAATGGAAATGAACTCCAATACACCTACTTACCTAAACAAGACGAGTTATCGAATAGCTAAACGGATACCTCCTTTTTAACACTTGACCGGCACCTTTTATCTTATACTTAGTAATTTATACAAGTATGTGTAATTAAGATATTACACATTATATCTTATACAAGTATATTGACAATTTCATTCATACAAACCAAATTGATTAATGATCATTCTTTTACACTTAATTATTTATCAAACTTACTAAAGTTAAGTTTGAATAAGGAACACATTGATGCGAAACTAGTAGCTGATTAGCCACTATAGACACAACATATGCCATGAACACTAAGACGGAAGTTTCACTGATTTTTGTACTCATACTCAACCACAATAAAATAATAATGATAAAAATCAATAAAATAGGGCCACAACTCTATTAATGGAAACTTTGTTTGCAGGGTAGACGGGTTTGTCAGGTTTTACTGATTTTCCTAACATAAGTATTAAGTTACTTGCATGAAGAGACGTTTATATAAAGTTTCACAGGGTAAAGGTACTCAAGAGTCCGTAAGAACAAAATTGTTTTAATTTAATTTTTATGTAAAATTAGATTACGAATTTGAAATTTTAGATTTTGGTCTAAATATTTTAAAATACGAGTTTTCTTTTCAAAGAGGTCTTTGATATTATTTTTGTATTTATCGTCATATTATTGAATTAAAAATTAAAATTTTCTTAACTTATAATAGGGTTATAAATATATTAAAACTTATTTACATTATTTTCACTATAGAAAACTTAAGAGTGATATATTTTAAATCAACTCGTTCAATTTTCTCAAAGTTATCGCACTTTTAAGAAGTAACTTTAAAATAAAAAATAAATAAATTCGTATTTATCTCCTTAAAATACCACATAATTAAAATAAATCCGATACCTTACAGAAAAAAAAATTCTTTTTTCACTCTTGTAAAGTATAAATAGAGAGAAAAATTAATTGAATATATGACTTCTATAGGTTAATAGGATTTGAAAAACGAAACTTCACATTTATAACATAGAATTCCATGAATATTTTTGATCAAAACCTTTTTCAATAATTCCGCTTTGTATTTTTATCTCTTTACTTTTCAAAGAATTTTTCAATAATTGTACAATTGAATCACCTTTATGACATTATTACTTTTTGTTTAGTAAAAATATATTGCGTGAACCATTAGCATGATTTTAAATTAACTGGCTTATAATATAAATAAAAATTTCACTTTAAACTAATATACCATATACATTACTTGTTTTACTTTTTAATGTATTTTATATATATATATAAACCGTAGATTATATCAGGACAGATAAATGTAGTTCAAGAAAAACTAATATTTAAAATTTTGTATTTTTATTTACACGATTAAATAATTTAACAATTCAGTCTCATAAAATATAATTAAAACTAATCTTAAACTAAAACTATAAAACATTTGTGTTGATTCGAAATGTCATCAGAACTTAGACATTTCATCATTCGTAAGGGTGACATTTACTTTTAGAATTTCTAGTCGGAATTACACTTGTCGAGAAAAATAAATACTATTGTAAATCATCGAGAAAAATATTAGAAAACTTTGACAATTTCAATAATGTGAAACTCGATTAGATGTTCTGTAAAACTCACCGTAAGGTAAAAATGTTGGTGTAGCAGATGCTTGAGACATCGAACTGCTTGTTGGGCTTCTGGTGTCGAGCAAATCATGTAATGCCGCTATGTATGTTTGCGCCATCTGCAATGTCTCGAACTTGGACAACTTTCGTTCCGCATCCGTCGCCGGTACTACTCCCCGCAACCGGTCAAAAGCCTCGTTCAGGTTATTCATGCGACGCCTTTCACGTGCGTTGGCCGCCAACCTCCGTCGTTTTCGGTTATTGTTCTTATCCTCGAAATTATCCACGTCCGATCTCCCGTCACTCCCACAACCGGTGACATGACTCTCGCCCAACAAATAAGTGCTAAAGTCCTCCAGCGGTTTATACCACGACATGTCGTTTTCGTCGCCGTACTCGGTAGTCTTATTTATTTCATTGAATTCGTTGGTATACGTCGAGTCTCCGATGCACCGAACTCTGTCCTCGCGACAAGTTTTCTCAAGAACACTGTGGTTATCGCAGTCGAAAAAATGCCCTGGCAATATCACGTTGTCTGCGGCTCGCAACATTTTCTTCTTGTGTATTCAAACCGTGTGAATTCAACTGCGAACTCGACCCGTCTACAAGGAAACCGGTGTGCGGCCGCGGTTTTATTTATCGCCTCGGCCACGGTAGCTCGTAATTATTACCTATCGGCTCTAATAGGGGGCGGACCCCGACGGGACAATAGCATCGCCTGAGGTCCCATCCCTGACGATGATGATAATATCGTCTTTCCAAATTGTTATTATGTTTTTGTTGTTACTTTTTTTTAACAAATTGCGTTTTGTTTTCACGTGGTATCGATTGTATTTCAAATGCACGTCATTTTATTTTTCTCATAAACAAAAAAAAAAAAATTATTATTATAAAAATTCTTATGATAATTTATTAGAATGTACGTTAAAAGTAACGTTCGATTTTTAGTATTATGTTACTATATCTGTTCGATGTTGTAAAAAATCAACTCACCGGAAATAATTAACAAGGAACAACAGAAACCATTTCACTTTTTCCTTACAGAATATCAAAACTTGACACAGGAAAGTTTTATTTTTTTTTTAAGTAACCTTTGCTTAAAAAAACAATAAAAGTTTTTTCCGAAAATTTTGTTGAATACAAGATCATATCAAATATTTTCGACACAACATGAGGGTACTACGCTAATAACAATGATGTTGAACTCTAAGTTTTAAGCATTTCATTTCGTTTTAACAGAGGAAAAGCTTTTTGTTCAAAATTTTAGCTTTCTAAAAACTTATCGTTTGAATTTCTTAAAATATTTGCGTTTTCGGTCGTAGTAAAATATTTAAACAAATTATTAAATACCAAAGTAAAAGTTTAACATAAAACGGTGAGTATTACATTGGAATAAAAGTACAAGTATATATTACAAGTATTAATTTTTATATTTGAAGAAGTTTTAAAATGTTCGATAATATACATTTCCATATTTTTTTATCAGATTTTCTTTTTAACGAACTTCTCTCATATTTGTTTTTAAATTCTTCTGTCTATCGAATAACATTTTTAATGTATTTTATGATTACATTAAAAATTAAGCTTATACGGTCCAATTCAGCTGTATTTTATAGCCGAATAAATATTTGTTCTGCATTTAAATTTGATAAACATATTTTTAGATCCATTACATTTATCTCGACTTCAACAATTTCATTTCAACCACTTGAATTATTTATACCGTACGTATCATATGGTTTTTTTTATTTCTTTGATCAAGTTGATCATAAAATAATATGTATGGTTAATACTCGAATTTATTTTTCATTATTCACTAGGAAATCAAAATAACGGTTCAAATAAAAGTTTTGCCATGACGAAAATGTTGATTTCTACTCACTTATTTTTTACATTACATAATCGGTACGTTATTGTTCAATTTTTTGTGTAATTACAGCAAATCACAACATCGTGTCAACCATTTCATTTAAAACTTTCATTAAAAAAATTCGGGAGAAACATTGAACAATATTATAAATTTTTCATAACGATAAGTAATTATTTTCAATGATAATTGCGTTTAGTGGCAAAAAGGAAAAGGTCGTATTGATGAAATTTTAATTCTTTGACCATTGTAAAGTTCCGGACACGACCTTTAAAGTGTTTAAAAACTTACATTTAAAGTCGTCAAATACATTATAATCGTTCAACTTTATTGTCATTTTATTTAAAAAGAATGGCTTTAAAAACGTTTAATCAAACCAAAAACAAAATGAAATTACGCAAACTATGCTGAATATTTAAAAATATTTTATCAATAAACAAATTACATTGCATTAACTCGTTTAAATATAACAGACATGGTTAAAATTTGAATAACTCTATTTTTAGATATTTATCCATAAACAAGTGTGTTTACTCATTTTCGCCTTTTGTTTTTTGTTTCACACAGCGTTATTGAATTTTTATTCGACTGTTCCATTTTTTTTTTTTTAAGGTCACTCTGTAATAAACCCCTCTTGTGTTTATCTGTATTTTGTTTATTTATGAAACGGTCATGAAATCTCCGTTTAAATAAAGGTTAAATTTTATCTAAAAATAAAATCCATCTTTAATATACATGAATGGACAAGAGTCGAGTTATTTTTTTAACTCGCAGTTTAATCGAGAGCGAATGTAAATAAATTTCATCTTTTAATAGAAAAATACAAATCGATCGAACAAAAAGTCAGTGTTCATCTATTGTGACTGAAATATGATTAAATTTTTCGTTTTTGTTTCAAATATGTATTGTATTCGACTTGTTGGAACAAAAAAAAAAAACCAAATATAAAATGGCTTTTCTGATAGTTGTGGAGAGTTTGAGATTAGATCGGACGTGAAGATTATTTTCAATTGACTAACTATTCGTGTGAGTGTTTGAGTTATTACCAAGTTCGAAAATGGTGAAAAACTATAGTCATCCGGAAACGTAAACTTTACCATTATTCACTAGTGCATCGTCGAAGTGTTTTTAAGCTCTTGTGTGCACAACAAACAAGACATTACACCGATTTTTAGTGCGCATTGTGCCGACACACACTACGGTTTTCTCTGGGTGGTTTATTGCAATCGTAAAAGGTCTCACCCTGTCCGCAATGAACGAGGCAATGACCTAAGCGACGACCTTTATAATATATAACATAATTTTTCATACACAAAAAGACAGCCATAAGTTATTCCATAAAATTACCTGTTTTTTGAGTTTTCCAAAATGTTCAGTTTACCAAACAATTCATGTTTTCTCCGCGCTCGCTCGATTCGAGTATCAAAATCTGTTTGTTTTATGTTTTTCTTTTTTATTATTCTTGTTTAAAATTTTCTCTCGTAAAAAAAAAAACAGCAACATTATATAGCTATTATTAAATGAGAAAAATATTATTATTTTTTCCTTGGGTAAATGATTTCATGTAACGGCGAAACTAATAAGAAAATGGGGTAGGTGGTAGATCATAATCAAGTACACTTCAAAATTGAAAATCAGACAATTTTCTCGAGAAAATGTAGCTTTATAAAGCGCTTCTGTCGTCATTAAGCTTTGATAAAAATGTCCTGTTGGTTTGTATAAATATTCATGTTATTCTACTGCAGAATAATATTTAAAGACCGTTCCACAACCATTCGAGTTCAACGGGCACGTGTTTGCGTTGCTGTAATTTAAACAGAAAATTATAGAAGATTCCTTTCGTTGAAATTTTAAGTAAACACCGTATTATTTTTACAACTCCGTTTATATTTATTGCACTGATAAAGATCCTTTAATTGCAGCGTTACAAAACGAATAATTGGCTAAACTTTTTTTACGGTGAACATCACGGAAGTCGTTCATGTACCCTTAGCCATGTCTAGCCCCATTAGATGTGTGGACTACAAGCAACACCAGTCTCGTTCAGATGTAGTTACTGTGCTAAATCCAATTTTAATTTCAAACGATAATTTTGCACGTGTATATTTTCAAGAATCGAGAAAACCTATACTCAATTAAATTTAAATTAACAACCGCAAATACACTAAAATTGTTAAAATAGCTCCGTACATCTATTGAACGTTTTTAATAAAAACACTTCGTTTTGTATTAGGTTCAACACATTTTTTTCCCATCTATGTAAACTAGACTACTACTGTATATTTGTCCTATGCTCGCCAGTACAATAATAACGTCGTAAGAATGTTTTGTTACGTCGACCAAGTATAAAAAAACCTATCTAAATAACACAAGTTTCCCTTGCAGTCGGATTCAATTCATTTCATTTCATTAATATTCATTTTAAATGTTTGGTCTCCAAGGTATTAAATCCTGTCACTGTATATGTTTGACTTTTTTTCCTGGTAAATTTTTGCAAAATGAGGATATTATGTGACATGTTTATTTTAGAACGTTTTACCATTGTAATTTTTATAGGAGGTTTACATAAAAACATTTAATACCGTGAAAAGAATGAATTACAGATAAACGCAGCAAAAACAGTGTTTCGCGTTTAATGAAAAGTTTCAAGTCTGTGTGCCCGTAATAATACGATGCACATTTTAAGTAGAGAACATAACTAAGGTTAGAATTTTAAAAATAGCATTAAACTAGATTCCGAGAGTCAAACCAGGCGGGCGAATTTTAAACATATTTTTTACTCGCATGTTGCAGATTTTTAAGTGATATCATTTATACAGCTTTGCATTAAACTACCCAGAACGATTGAACACTTCCTATTAAAAGCATCCATTGTCGTGAAAGTTCAATATAAATGAAACGATATCATCTTACACAGTCTGTTTGTTTAATCAAGCATAAAAATAGAGTACCTACTTTATGTAGGTGCTATGTACATATTTATCTGGTAAAGTAATAGCTTTAAACTATCTAAACATTCGAATAATTTGATGCATGAACCATTTCGCTTGATCTAGATTCTTATTAAAATCCAGTGATATTGTCTGATATTAACTTATAAGAACAATCTAATTTTCGTGTAAAAAACTTATCACAAAATAATGAAGATTCTTTTTAAACGAGAAATTATTAAACTCGTCGACAAAAATAATAGCCGGAAATATAAAAAAATATAACAGATTTAAGTAACTCACTTGAGTTTAAATTTATTGATACTGAACCAATTTGATTACCATGAAATTCATATTATTCAAAATCGGGACACAATGGAGGAGGAAAATATTTAAGTAATAAAATAATTTTGGAAACTATGCAACATTCTTAATATATAAATTTAATTGCACATTACATTCCTATTATTCTAAAGTATTTTTCTTAGAAATTGATGTTAAGATTTTAAGGTATTAAAGATATTATTTTGTTGAGTATTTACATAAACAAATTAGCTCTTAACTTGTCGAACAGATAACTTTTATTTATGACGGCGTAGGGACATAAAAAAAGCACACGTGTGGATAGATTTTAGTACGTGACAACTCGAGTGGGTGTTTTTTCAGAATATCATTATAATGACATTCTCAAAAGTCTTGTACTCCATTATTGATTTAATTTAATATTTCGGTATTTGTTATTTAGAACTCATAAAAAAATAAGAACAACGAATCTGTTCAGTATAGAAAATAGATGAACAAAAATTAACTTTGATTTTTCTGGATAAAATAATTACTATTTTAGAATTACTTGGCAACGACGATTAATTAAAGATGAGCTATTTAGATACATCTAAAGCATAAGCCGCCATGGACATTTAGTTTAAAAAATGTATACACTAATTTACAAGGGGCTAATGTTTTCGCATCAATCTAAAAAGGGGCAGTAATGATTTATTAATATTGATATATTTTCGAATAGAT